TAAACGAATATTTCATCTGAAAAAAAGAAAAAAAATATCCAGCATATGACGTCCCACAACGAACAGGCAATTCCGCTGCATTAACTTAAACTATGCAAAGACATTGACTTTAAAGACACGACGTTTGCCAGAGTTTTTTCTTCGATAACTTATGGAACACTACGACGTCTTTCGATTGTTCAAGTTATGTTTCCAACCCGTCTGCGAAGGCCAAAACGTTTGGGAGTATCGAATACTTTGATATAAGCAGCCTGGAAATGCTCAATTTCTTCAGCCGTTGGAAGACGTCTCCGCCTCCATGGGGCGTCAAGACATAAACAAGGATATGTCGTCCGAATCGAAGAAACAGTAAGCATGTCGACGAAGTCACACCGAAAAGCACGCACATACCATTGTGGAAATTGAACTTTGTCTGCACTAGCGTAAGCACCAAACATATTGTAGATCCTTAGTCTCGGACGACTCCAGATAAAGAAATATTGCACTCAATTTTTTATATATAGTGTAAATTCCGTACATGTTTGTTTGAAGACGTGAAGTAGCTTCCTGAAGGCGCAATAATCCAGCCCAGTAAAAGTAATAAATGACTGACTACATCCTGAACTAAATAGCATACTCCATGGACTCATAGTTGGCTCGACGCCGGATACGATGATCGCGCCTTCGACGTCCAACTGTAGTGAGATAGACACCATTTTGGACTCGCTGTACCTGGTGCGGACGGCGACGAAAAAGTTAGAGTAGCAATGACAGTTGAAGCATGATTTTTGCACATTTTTCCAGATACCGACACACCAAAAAAAAGGATTTTCGTGACCGAAACATACCAAATTCACATTTTGAATTTTGTTTATTACGCTATTAAATATGTTTCATGAACCTTACAATATCACATATTTGTCGACAATGAAAATGAATGCACGCAATTATCAAATTAAATATTCAAAAGGCTAAGACTTGACTTCAACGCACCGTGCAAAATCACTGTTAATGACGAAAAGAGATACAAAGCAAAGCTGGTACGATAGTGCAATCAAGCATTAATCGTTAACGATCGTGCTCAGAATGTTCAAATTCAACTGCTGCTGTTTCGCGAACGCATAGCTGACCGTCAAGAAGATGAATGAAGTTTGAGAGTCCGAGGCATTTTAATATGGATATTGACAATCGAGATGAGCTGAGAGTCATATCAATATTGTCAGATTTACTATTTATTATGACTATTTTATTTGTGGACCACAAGCACAACAAATTAAGATTGAGGCTATCGACATTATCCGAATGGTGCTTTTAAAGCTTTTTACTACCTATATGGGCTATCTTGTATAGTTCAGCTCTGTCTTTTCCATTTCCATCTAATTGTAGAAAATTAATACACATTTAGGGATGTACAAGCTGCTGGTACATCTGCGCCTGAATCGCCTGCTGTTGCTGTAATTGTTGTGCAGCAATTTCCTGTGCGTGTTTGGCACAGTGGCCATTCTTCTGTGCCCACTTAGTACAATTTGGAAATTCACATCGCTTCCCACCGCCGTGGCCGCGACAGAATCCACCCGACTGACAGCTCTTAGTACAACCTTCATACTTGCATCGGACACCACCTCCATGCTGTTTACACAATCCTCGCGACTGTGCTGTCTTGGGACAACCTTCGACATTGCACGGTTTGCCACCACCGTGAGCAATGCATAAGTGACCAGTTTGAGCACTTTTCATACACCCTTCAACCTTGCATCGTCGACCTCCTCCGTGCAGCTTGCACATGCCTTTCACACGAGCTGCGTGATTGCAGCCCAGAGCCGAGCATAATTGAGTCCCATTTACATCAGTCTTGACCGATTTGCCATTCTGTGTTGCTATTCGCATCTGCTGCGTTAGACTACCACTTCGTAAATGCTGTGGCTTTTGGCAAAGCATGGCAGCGCCTGGTTTCATCAGCATATTCGGAAATTGAGGCATAGGTGGGTTTGCACCAGCATACCCTGGGGTAGACAACATGAGACCATTCTGTTGTTGCTGGTGCAGCACAGCGTTCTGATACAATTGATTGTACTGCTGTTGTTGCTTCTGTTGTTGTTCCTGACGCAGTAATTGTTGCTGCAATAAATTTTGCTGTTGTTGTTGTTCCTGGTATGATAGACTCGACATGTGGTGTATCATACCCATGGTTGGCAAATTCGCTGGTGTGGACACCGTTGGATTATAGTCTTGATGATTATTTATTGGCTGTGTATAGGTCATGAACGTTGACATGTTGCTAGTTGAGGGAGAATTCTCCGTGTATATGTTACGCGAAGGGTTGACAAGAGTTTGGGTATCCACAAATCCCACTGACTGGCCTTGTGTACTTGTTGTGGTCGTAGTCGCCGACATATTGCTAGAATTCGAGCCATGGTAATCCAGTAAATGATCGAGATTATCCACTTGTACTACATCATCACCTCCATAATCGTCATTATCAATCGCAGATACATCCGTCTCAATAGATTCTAATGTTCTTGCTAAATGCTGAAACCGAAAACTATCTTGACTCGTCATAGGTTTCTGAAGAGCTTGATTCGATGTAGCATTCAGCATGGCTTGAATAATTTCAAAGCTTGTTGTGCGCATACCCATACCGCTATCCGTTGCGGTTCCAGCATTCTGTTGTGAATTTGGCGACATAAAGTTCCGCATGAGTTGGAGACTAGAGAGTCGCTGGAGAGTCCCAGCCTCACAGTCTTTGTACACTTGTGTTAATGGCTCAGGCGTATTACTAGCAAACGAAGTGTCAATAAAACTGAGCAAATGCCGAAGACTCTCTTTCTTCTCCGTCATCGAAAAATCATTAGAACTCAAGAGTTTTTTCAACGATGGCTTATAGTCAGCTTCCTGTTTCGCATTCTCTGAGTGAACAAGAAAGCTCCCGCCTGCGTTCTGCGAGCTCATCATCCGTGCAGACGGTGGCTGTTGGTCTAATAGACATGCCAATACATCTTGAATACTAGCTTCTCGATGAAGAGGTTGACGATAATCGTCATCACGAGCTAATTCTGTTTTGACCATGACCAAGTCGCCAGTAGAAAGCGAAACGGGAGTCTTGTGCTCCACTGCAGACGCAAGACGCGCTTTCATTTGTGTCCAATTGGTCAGTTGTGCAGAAGAAAAGAGCGATGTATCGACACAATCCATCATACTACGAAGCAATTCTGGGTTAACGTTTGAGAGGTCAGGGCCAGTGGATTGATATCCAGCTTGGGCCATGCTCTCCCTCTTTCGTTGCTTTTGATTGTGTTCCGCTTTCTCAAGGGGAAGGAAGGCTGGCGAATCAGAGAGATAGTAGTGAGATTGAGCCAATGAATAGAGGCGATAAAAACGAGACTGCATGTCTCAGAAACCTAAATTTTGCGGTTTTGACAAATACCAGTAATAATATCCTGTCTTAAAGAGGGCAATCTGGAAATGGAGGGTCGTATGTTCTTACTTATAAGATGTGAGTAAGCGAATGACCATAATATTTTGGAACGACTACCATATATCGTCACAAAGTTGAAAATATATATATATATGTATATATGGCCAGTGATCGTGCGTGTATCGTTCGTGTAGTTAGAATGTCACAGACACTAACAAGTATAATAATTTTCCAAGCTTATATAGCAAGCACGAACCACCGAAAGGCTCGACCTGATACATGTTTGTCAAACAAAACGACTGTAAACGAAACGACCAAAGTTGCTGGCTTCAACTCGGCCAGCCAATCAAACAAATTGTAGCCATACGGCGCACACCGAAACATCTTAACGTTGTGAGGTTAGAGTAAAGGATTTTGACAAGCAATATGAAATATTGAAATCCTTAAGCACAAGGATATCAGTTTCATCTTATAAAGAATCGAGTCTGAAGGTACATCACTTCTGCAAGAAGATATCAATGTAAAGATTCTCTGCTACTCATGCTATCATCGCAATCCACAACATTTTTTTAGTTCGCTACTGTCGATAATTTCATTTGCTCTTTAAGCTGCTTATAATATATTAATGTATATATGTGATCGCGAAACATTTGTGAAATTTTACGCTCTGGATTATTGCACGCATTTTGTTGTTATTCGGCATTGTACGCAGATGTATAAGTGAGATATAGCTCTTCTGGATCAAAAAAGGTCAACACGTTTCAGCGGTCCATTCATAGACAAGCTGCTGACGAGAAATAATCTACGAAGACTCAATAGTTCTTGATCTCTTGCAGATTATTTTATAACCAACATTGTCAATGCACCTGGGTTACAATTTATAAAGATACTTCCTTTCAAAATTAATTATTCCTTAAAATATTGTAATTTTTTAAATTAGGCACTTCTCTAATGCTCCGTAGCCACAGTCCTAGTCCACTTCCCAGTCGGTGTCTTCGCAATCGTAGTCGTAGTGCATCGCCGCATCATTGCCGCCACCTCAATCCCTTGCCACCTCGCGATCACCCTCCTCGTCGCTCACGCTCGCGCAGCTCAAACCGATTACGCCATCGTGCGCGCAGTAGACGGCGAGAGATGCCAAGCAAGAAGATCCGGATCCCCGATAATTGGGTTGATGTGGCGAAAATGGGTACTATTGTGGGAAACTCTCGTTTTGTTCCGCTTCGTGTCCCGTTAGACGCCAAATATCTGCCCCAGTTCTCCCACCAAAAAGAAGAAATCTGGACTCCACAGGACTTTATAGAACTACAGATGACCCAAAACCTTGACGTGAAGATGATCATCGATCTCACTAACACTTTTAAATATTACGATGGTGGACAAGAGTTTAAGGAGACTGGAGTGGAATACGTCAAGCTCAAGATTGAAGGATTCAGTAGACCGCCAGACGTTCGTGATGTGGCTAAGTTTGTGGTCATTGTCGATGATTTCATAGCTAGAAAGCCAGATGGAATTATTGCTGTTCACTGCACTCATGGACTTAATCGAACGGGCTATCTCATTGTCACGTATATGGTCAAAAGGCTGGGCTATACGGTAACGGGGGCCTTGGAAGCATTCAAGGAGGCTCGACCACCAGGACTTATCAAGCACATGTACGTCAAGGATCTTTACCAAACACTTGGAGAAGGAGAAGAAATAATACTCCCGACACTGCCGGACTGGGCGGGATCAAAGTACGGCGATAGGGAAGTAAGGAAACCGGATGGCTATGGTGATGTCTGTAAGAATCTAAGTACACACGGCAATCACCTAAGATTCGAAGAGTAGAGATAGATTTTACGGCAACTTGTCAAGGCGAAGATCTAGTGCTCTCTGTATAATGTCACGCCGCTTTTGAACAAGACTCTCGCGGGTTTGTGAAAGCTTTTGAAGCTCGCGTGTGAGTACCATGGACTACATACAGTAATGAGAAGTGAGACATTCGGATTTCTCGAAGTTGTATAGTATCACTTGCGACTGATTGTACCTTTGTGTGAGTAAATCGTACCAGAACTTGAATACGTGCTGGTTGATCGCGCGGTTTCTTTTCAAGTATTTGCTGTCGGAGTGTGGGAGGCACTACATACCACTCATTCTGATCCTTCTGGTCTAGAAATTTGCGCAATGGAATGAAAATCTCACCCGCTACCTCTCCTCGCTTTGCGTCAACAATCTGAATGCCGAGCTCTCTGTGAATTGAAGGCACAGATTTTATTTGACAGCGATACATCCATACAGGGTTACAGTCAGCGATATGCGTATCCGATTGATAGACTTCAGTTCTTTCTACAATCGTGGCTGACCGGAGGAAAACGCGCACGTAAGGATTAATCTAGAACGTCAAGTTTGCACGTTAATTTATCTTTCAGCTACGCGCATACGACAATTAGACAGCACCATGTCCTTGAAAATGGGATCGCGGTATGGCAAATTGTTCCCCTGCTGGACACAGATATCGAGGGTAGCGAGACTATTTCCATTTGCGTCTCTTGAAATGTTATTTATCGCGTCAAAAAATTCACTGCCAGCTAATGCTTGCAGTTCATTACACGATTCCTAAAAATGCGTTTCGTAGGGTGAAAATTGGGTTGAAACAGATTTGACGTTCATGTGCCACATTGAAATTACCTGAAAAAAGCGCTCAAAGGAGATCCATTCGACGTCCAAAGCGTCTGGAATTTGATCTGGTGGTGGTCTAAGCTTCTTTGGCGCAACCGATGTGCCATTACGAGATTTTTCTGATTTCTTGTTCAATGATAATATTCGCTTTGATTTCTGTAGAAACCAGTGCCTTGAACAAAATGACAGGATGTTTTGCATCGCCACGTCTGATAGATACCAAGGTCGTTCCTTTTCGCGACGTCGATCAACGGCATCTTGTGTAGCCATTAGCAACGTCCTACGCTCGGCATCATAGTGTGCATCAGCTTTTTCTATCGTCTTCAGTCGTCGCAAAAGCGTAGGCTCAAAACGACTATTTCGGATGTCTTGATCATAACGAACTTTGGCGTCGATTAACTTACGTTGAATAGTTTGTTTTAGTTCAGATAACTCCATGCGTGTCGTTGCCCGTTCACGCTTGTACATAGCCCATTGTCGTTTTCTGACTAATGCACAAGTGAAAGAGATTTTTCTAAATTCTGTTGGGAATAAAGCGTTCTCAATTGACCAGGGTTGACATGCACTTTCGATAAGGTTTCGGTTCGCAGTGTCTTTGAGATAATCAAATACTGTTTCGCCCCGCATATCTTTAAAATCGATGTTAGCTCCTATCAACATGTCACGTTATTATGATCAAAAGGGTCACGAGATGATTGCTTCGAACCGAATCGTAAAAGCTCTCTTAAAACCGCGGCATCGGCACGACTAGCAGCTTCCATAAGTGCCGTCCGACCAGTTTTGACATGTGCATGATTGACACAAGCTCCACTTAGCAGCAGCAAGCGAACAACTGAAGCGTGATTGCCCTGGCACGCAGCTAGCAGTGGGGTTAACCCCATCGCCTTAAAAAAAACGCAGCAAGTTTTCAGATCTGTGATCATCAAAGAAAGCAGCTCGGGAATTACGTACACTTTCGGCATTGGCACTTAAGCCCATGTTTAACAACATTTTGACGCGTTCTAAGTTGCCCTGCATCGATGCCTCACGAACGCTTTGCACATTTTCTTTCTAGTACGTCCAAGATAGGAAAAAAATGTCATTTGGTAAAATCACTATCGAAGTGATGACGTACCGTTCTACCCTCCGAAAGGTCTTGTAAAAGCTGAATATTCTCATTCTTCAATTTCGCTTGTCGCTCTTGTCGAGCGTTTTTCATGTCGTCCAATATTTTCGTATTAAATCGATGCGTAGCACGAGCGATCTTTCGACGATGTCGACGCATTAGTGCTTGCTTTTCGTCGTCGCACAATTTCTTAAAGGTACTACATTCTTCTCTCTGTTTTTCTTGATCTTCCAATCTTAATTGTAACAATGAATTGACACATGACTTCACTGAATTGTTCAACGTTTTCAATGGGGCTTGCAATTCGAAATTCGTCGAGTCTTGCGCTGCTAAAAGCATTGGCTTCTCCCAAGACGATATTCCTGTGTGTACGTTGTAGTAATATGCCAGACCATTTACAGGATCCCAATATTCAACATAAGCAGATTTGACTAGCTCTGCAACTTGACGGCGTGCACGTCGAGCACGATACAAAGTTTGAAGTTGCACGACGAGCCGCACGGTTTTGGAATCACCTTCCATCCTATTTGACTTTTCATTCAAATTTCAAGTATGTAAAATGATACATTTCCACTCTATTACTAATATCATCTCCACGCCTGACTTGTCTTCGCTAAAACCTCCTGCGCAATGTCATGATACATTTGTTTGTACTTTAGAGAAGAAGGAAACTTGTGCCCTTCGTCATGTTCGAACTTGACTCGATTTATACTAGAAAAGCTTCGAAACAGCTTTTCCATCTGAGTAATTAAAGGATCGGCCTTGCCAATCACATGTACCGACGGAATGTCGATCGCTCCATCGGCTGACCTCTTAGCAGCATCCAGAAGCTCTTGTGTCTCGACAGTGCGTGGGTAAAATCCGGCTACTAATATACAGACCTTCCACGGGACGTGATTATATGTTGTTTGGTAGTGTGCCGTCAACAAAGTTGCAATAGCGGCACCCTGAGAGAAGCCCAAAACAGCATCCACTGTTCCTAGACTTTGCACTTGGCCCGTCAAATAGTCTAAAGAATGTTCTAACCCCTCGTATCGATACGTTACACCGTCTTTGCGCTTCAAGGCGTCCCACCATTGAAAGAACGGACCCGTCTTGCCATAAAACGAGCGCACCAGCTCCGGTGCAGGGCCCGAGGCGGCCCATGGTGCATCGAGATACAACAGCTCAGCCTTTATACCAAATGCGTGACGTAGAGCAGAGGTCTGACGTTGCAAGATTTGACCACTCGTGCGCCAGCCGTGAAGGCATAGCACGCGAATAGGCCTTGTCATCCCTGTAAAAGTTTCAGGATATATTCCATGAAGATTAAACTGTTCTTTAAATTTTACACTTTTGTAGATAAAAGTTGAAAAACACTTTAGGTGCGAGCAGAATAGCACATATTCACATACATCACTATGCCCAGTTAGTCTGCTGAAACTATAACTACATATGAAATGAATGGTGTACCGTGGATAGGGGATAATGGGTCACTGGAGCTAATGAGGGGCTGATTTAGCGGTAGCTTCGATGTTTTTTCATCTTCCACCTCTACAACAATTTCTGAATCCGAATAGCAGTTAATTTTTAGCTTTTTTGGCAGGCTGAGCGTTTAATGGACAGAGACATTTTGCTAAGGCCATCGTATGGAAGTGCATCCAATTCTCGGTTATAACGACAATATTATACGGCTATCGTCATACATTGCCAATAAGGGTTCCGTTGCAGAAAACTCAGTCTTTCATTAGAGATCTAAACAAGTACGATAAACACGATGCATTGATGTGACGGGGTTTTACCGTACATAATTGTCATGTGTTTTACTTTGTTCTAATCTTGATGATAGATTATTGCTAGTAGCACTCGTACAAGATTTTACGGATGTAGCTAGTGGAACTTGCAGGATACACAGGTGTTGTGCAAACGAATGCATTATTCATACGCAGGAAAATGCCCTTCACGTGGCAAAAAAATTCAATCACTAAAGACTTCGATAATTAGAGGATCAAATAGTCAGCATAAAGCAGGCTGCTTGTTTCATATGAACAATTTAGCAATGACGAGAACGGCGTGTAGCCAGTAGACGCATGCGCTGCATTGTTCAGAGTGAGCTCCACAAGTGGCAGCATGGCACTCCAGCACTTCGACGTCTCAGCGCAGATGCTGCGAAGAACGCCTTCAATGACGCGATTCACGTGCTCGGATTGACTATCGGTCTGCGGATGGTCTGTTTTTTACATAGTTGACTTGGTGCCCTGCAACCTGAAGATTGCCGATTAAAACTTCCCAGAGATGCATGGGTCTCTGCTGGAGACAATTGACTCCGGGAGTCTATGCGGTCGAAAGAAACGATCTACAAACAGCGTTGCTGTACCACACACCGTTGATGGTGTCCGGCACAGCCACACATGAGCCATCTTCCTCAAACGGTCCGCAAAGACCACCACACCCGTGTTGCCCGCCGAGTCCTTCGACAGGCCAAACACAATGCCCAAACTTAAGGACTGCCAACGCCTGGAGGGTACCGGTTAACTGGCCAGCGGCGCCACCGCATTTGGAGAGGGTTTCACCCTTTGACACGTCTCACACGTGCGCACATATGAGCTCGTCCATTTGTTCAGCTTTGGCTACCAGTACTTAAAAATCACAGTGCTGCGGGTATTCTCACAACCGAGATGGTCACAGAGTGGGGTTTCGTGGCTCTCATAGAGAAGACAGCATTTAAATCTCCATCGCGAGGAGCCACAATTCGTGGCATATCCGTCGAATCGGTGCTATAATACAACCAACCTTTATTCAACGAATATCGGTGTAACCGTACGCGCAATCGCCCCGACAATTTCTTGTCTGAGTCGCCAAACGCCTTGCTCCCGAGAGCTTGTGGCAGCGCTACACATACCGTCACCCACATATGCGACCCGGATCAAATCCGTCACTGACGAAATCACCGTCATGACATGAGCAAGCACATACACCGGTCTGCGTGACAACGCATCAGCCAAGGCATTCTTCATTCCTGGCTCATACTTCACATCGAAGTCATATATTGCGAAGAAGGAGGGCACCTCTGCAAAAGTTGAGCCGGTAGAGTCGCAGTGCTTAGCGACGCATGATCTGTGTGGATCACAAACGGCTTTGAGTAAAGCATGTACACCCTGAGTTTGCCAAGTGCATACTTAGTCGCAAGTAATGTCTTGTCTTGGACTGGGTAGTTCTTTTCCGCAGCCTTAAGCTGGCGAGATTCGAACGCGATCACCAAATCTCGTCCCTCGGAGTTGCTTGCAGCAGTGCACAGCCGACGGCAAAGCCCGAAGCGCCACAACCGACTCTAAAAAGACGATCGGGGTCTGGCAACGCCAGTATTGGTGTATGAAGGAGGCTGTCTTTGACCCTGTCAAAAGCCTCCCGATGCTCGGTGTCCAAACACCATTCCGTATCCTTCTTAAGGAGACTCTACAATGGCCGTGCCATTCCCAGATGATTTGCGCTATACTTGTGCAAGTAGTTGGCGAGACCAAGCCGTTTGCACAAGTTCTTTTGGTCCTTTGGGACCGGCCAGTCCCCACCGACATCGACCTTAGCGGTATTCGCTGGAAGGCCACGCTTCCCAATGAAAAACATTAAATTGGTGGTGTCTTCAGCGTCGAAGCAGCACTTATATGCATTAACATACAGCTTTTTCGTGCGCATGCACTCAAGTGCCGCTCTGAAATGGACGATGTGTTTTCTCATCTGTCCTCCCGTCCCTCCACACGAATGTGGACGAAGATGTCGTCAAAGTATGTTTGTGCATACACCCGGTGGGGCCTGATCAACTGCGTCACAAGACGATTCAATACTGCTGGTGCATTTGACATCCCTTGGGACATCACCAGCTACTCCCAGAGCATCCCGCTCGGAGTACTCACCGCTGTCAGCGGAATATCACTCGCTCTAATGAGCAATTGGTAATACCCGTGACAAAATCTTGTGCACTGTACTTTGTACAGCTAACCATATTGTTTTGGATAACATCCTTCCTAGGAATCAGCGTCTGTGCCGGAATGGTGGCAGCGTTTAGATTATTGTAAGCGTGAACGATACGCTACTTGCCGTTCAGCTTCCGAGCACAAAATGTGGGTGTCGAATGGAGAGACTTGCTCTCACGCACACTTCCGGCTTCGTGCTTTGCAAAAAGAAGCATCAATGACGTTACATTGCTTCTTGGGCAGGCGTGTTACGCAGTATTGGCTCCCGGAACCAGGTCGATCTCGTGACGCACACCTCGGTCCGGAGGTAGAACAGACGGCGGCCTTTAAGGATCGACGATCCGCTTCGTGCACTCAGCACCCTCTTGGTATCCTCCGGGACAGCTTCATTCAGATGCGACGACGAGTTGTTCACCTCGTTCGGTCGTAGAATAACCACTTCGGCTAAGTCGCCTGCCTTAAGGTACCGCAGAACGTTTCGAGGGACATCTCATCCAGCTCAAGAAGAGCATCCACCGCGGAATTGCCTCAAGGGTGGCGTCGACGTTTTCCTCCTCCGTCATACCGTTGACAAGGGTGTATAACTGTGCGCTTTCGGCTACGGTAGACACTCCTTAGGTCAGGGTCGACACTCTGCGTCTTGCAGATAAAATACAGCATCACCGTCTACTCTCTATAAAATTTTACGTCTTATCGAGACCGGTGGGAGCACGCACTCGGCGTTCTCCAGGGTCCGCACTCCCTGCTCCATCGAAGTCTAGATGATATTTACAACATGCGACGAGGAGCTGCTATTTCTGCAGTCTTCGTCCAGTGGAGAACGTGCCACTATCAGAACGGCCTTGCTCCAAATGACTCGGAACTCGTCCGATAATGCCACTCTTGGAATGCAGCAACTGCTTCGTACCGTATGTAGTGCTCAGTGGGTTACGTGCCACTATCAGAACGGCCTTGCCCCAAATGACTCGGACCTTGTCCGATAATGCCACTCTTGGAATGCAGCAACTGCTTCGTACCGTGAGTAGTGCTCAGTGGGTTACGTGCCACTTCACGTGCATCGCTGAGCCCCCCCTCGATGCCTCAGCCCTTGGCTGACCATGCAACTTTTAGCATGCAGCAACTGCTTTGGTACCTTTGCAGTTCTCAGTGGATTACGTGCCACCGCACGTTTATCCCGCTGGCCATGCTCCGGACTCTTGTTCGATGCACCTTCGACGATCGACAACTCAGATACTCCGATATCCACACATTGACCGTCCCGGTCCAGTGCCACGCCAACAGTGCTTCTGCTTCCAAGTAAAGATTGGTCCCATGGCTCATCATAGCTCCACCAAGAGACATGCGCGTAGCGCCCAAGGTCTTCGACCTTTAATCAGGCTCATGGTGTTCCTACCATGCCATACCAAGGATAAGGTCATAGCTTGAATCCGAGTCTAAGACTAAGTAGCGTTCCACGCTATCGAAGTCAAGGAAATTGACACTGAGATTCACAGGAACTTTCAGCATGGAGACACAAGTCCCCATCGCCATGTGAACAGTGACGGTGTCACTCAACCGCACTTTCAGCGTCTCAGCAAACAGGTGACTTCTTCGATCGTGGAGTGTCGAGCATAATTGCCCAACACCCCAGAATTGATAAGGATTTTCCATGGCTTCTCGAAGCCCTTTACGGTCGCCTTCACAACCCGCAATTCCGGTTTGCACATACGTTCCGGATTCAAGAGCACGGAGCTCCTCGGGGCTGGGCCCTGTTGACCTACGCCTCCCTGAGGCTCAACAGAACTTTCCCAGTAGGTCGCCCACCGGCTACTGAGTGGTGTCGTTTCCCCGCGACGAACCAGACTGGCAGGCGCTGGAGCGATGGTTCGACGAACCTTGGCGCGTCTTGCGCAGGGGAAACCAGTACGATGGTGACGGGTTTTTCTATGGACAAAACACCGTAGGGTGTTTAAACGCTGCCTGGAAGCTCGGAGCTCTCCTTCCTACTTTTAAGTATAGCTTAGACCCATCGGATCAGACGAGCTCTGAACATATGCATTCCAGCAAGTCGTGCCGACTTGAAGTTTAATTTGGCATTCGATGCCACATCCACCACTTTCTCAAAAGATGACGTATGCACATGGAAGTCTTCCAATCTGGTCACGCCAGTGTGGACGCCCTATATAAAGACGGTCACTGTGACCGCCCCGGGAAGAAGATCTGCTGACATCCCGGCAACGAGAGTTCTCACCTCTTAGACGAAGTCCATCTTGCGCTGTCGGACGGCAAGGAAACGCGATCTCACGCGATATGCCTAATTTGGCGGCGAGAACACTCGCAAAAGCTGACGCTCCAGCTCCTTCCATATGAAAAAACGCAGCTTCAACTGAAGCACCTCACGTTAGTGCCCATTCGTGCGCTCGACCACTGAGCTTGGAGATCGCTAGCGCCACGCGCTGTTGCTCGTTCTGGAGCATCGCGGATGCCATAGTCATCTCGACCTCTCTATCCCAAAGCAGAAGATTTTTTTCTCTCTCACCCACGAAAGTCTTAACGCTCACCATGAGCGGCCTGGGTCGGGAGAAGTCATTCATCGTCGACGGTGGCGTAGTCGATGCCGACAGCTTCTTCTCTAAGTGATCAAGCAGAGCATTTTCACAGCTAAAAACCCCGCTAGGTACGCGCTTATCGCTTCGAGTCCTTGCGAAGCAAGGTGTTGCACGCCCTCAGGGCCAAGCAGGGACATCAGCTTATTAAGACAGTCCTGCATGACTGGAGAAAATAAGGAGAATTGTTCCATCCTTCTCACAGCGGATAAGTTGTAACTACTGAGGCGTAGATTGGCTACGAATGTTACTAAGTGCAGGGGGGCTGCCGTAGCTTTTTGCTGAGAGGAAGCTACACCGACTTACGTTCTTTACTAGACCAGTACGAGTGTAGCGGATCACAACCCACTACTTCCAAGGGTACTCAAAACCTAAGCAACCTAAGCAAATACACTCTTCCTTTCAAATTAAAACGACAAAGCCGCTTTCATCTAACACTTTAGGTTTTCCTAATTAAACGTACTTCATTCGGCATGTCACGTGGCAGTGTTGACTTATCAGATCCATTTTACTGTGACAAGGATGAAGTATCTTATACAAGTCAGTCAAACTTATGACCTGACAAATACCTTTCTGCATCGGCTTGGAATAAAATACTTCTCCCTTCGGCTGTGATCAAACGCTACATTCCGGATACATTCTGGAAGCCGCAATTTATAATCAATCACTCTTCCTCGTACTTAAAGAGAACATTATTAACTACATATGATTCTTTTTAAAGAGGTTACACGTAGCCAGAGTGTAACGGGGTTACATGTAACCTTGTATGCAAGTGTGGGTTACACAAGATAATGTGGCCGTACAAAGGTGTGGATTACACAAGTCGGTGAAATCACACAATAGTGTGGCTACATTATAGCAAAAAGCCACTAAGTGGCGAGACTGCCAGTAGTAGTGAGGTTTTTCTATTTATTTGGGAAGACCTGAGATTTTAGATATCGAAGACTCTGCCGCAAATAAAGCAGATAAATACAATTTTAATTCGGAAAGGGAGAAAGTATTCGCCTTTGCTTACGCGTTGGGTACTCTTGGAGGTAGCGGATGCATTCGTGACCATTCTTCATTGCAGCGTATATAATTATGCTATGAAGAATGCCTACAGTCTCCATTTTTCACCAAGTCATTCAATCGGTAGGTGCAACGAGCGGTGTGTACAAAGGGCAGGGACGTTATCAACGCGAGCTGATTACTTGCACTTACTAGGAATTCCTCGCTCTAGACTAAAAATTGCAACTGTCTATCCCTAGAGATTGCCAAGCAGATGCATCCTCCCAGAGCATACTCTTTTGCATTTAGCGCCTCGGCGTATACTATTTGATTTTTCTGTACTGGTTGAGTTGTTGCAACTAAAACAAATACGTGGTTTTTCCTTTGTTGTCGAATTGAAGAAAAACAATGTCGATGGCATGTCACAATTGATGTTGAATGTCGGAACCAGATTCGAACGAGCCAGAATGGACCTCGTATGAAAGTATCTTTTACAGTAGTGAGGGTCGCCACCTCAGCCACGCACGACAAACATTTGGCATGCCCTTAGCTTGAGGAGTAGCGAGTAGCCGCATCATGTATGCGTCTTTCGCACTATACCTGCGCAAGTGGTTCGCCAGGCCTATAAACTTCTTCCAGTCTGTCAAATCTATAGCACTGACCAATCTACAGTGGTCTACATATTTGCGGTATCTGTCCGCAGGCCCAGCTTCCTTTTAAAGCTACCCAATTTTTGGCTGTAAAGTATACATTTCTTTGTTTGAAAATCTGGTTAAAATACAACTAGCTTCTGCTGTTAGTATTTGATGAGACTTTCTACATTTGACTCCCAGTGCTCTACACGTCCATAAAAGAATATTTCGTCGATGTAAGCTTGTGCATAGGCGCTGTGTGGCCAAATCAGCTACGTCTCCAGATTGTTTAGCGTCGCTGGTGCTTAATTTGTATTCACTCAATGCCTTAAATTAAACCTCGGGATGGCTCAAACAAGCATAATTAATAAGATATACTCAAGCGAGATTAAGCTTTTATCAGAGCCGACCATGGAAAAGAAAACACACTGCATTTTTCAATTGTGACTTCTGTGTCCAGCATAGGAACAGGAATAAATGCTCTTTACCGATCGTATTATTGTACTTTGTTGGTCATAAAAGTTCGATTTTTGATAAGAGCACTTAGATACATTGAAGGTGCGTCCTCATTGATGTTTTTTTTTCAATATTACGGTTCTTCATTGTAACTATAACTGACAACAGTTATACCAATGTGTTGCAAAATACCAATTGTCTTGCAGTATCATTGCTCGAACTCTGATGCTATTCGTTGAGTTTCTATCGCTACTGGCTAATCATTTACATTTGACGCGGTATTCGGTTTCGGGACCAAGGAAATACCAGACGCACTTTCCGATGTGGGAGCAATACGTGTGTTGGGTCTCATGTCACTGCGGGCTGATCTTTCATCTACGAAGTATATAATGAAAATATCTGTACGATCGATGAACAAAGCTGTCTAATTTTCGTAATTTGTGCTCAGCGATTTCCTCAAGGACGGACTCATCCAGGACGGTTGATGAGCTCTTCTCCACCTCTCTAGTACTCGTCGTAGCATCTCGAAAATACTCGAAGATGAACTCTTGAGCACAATAAGAGTTTTCTGAGATAGTGAGGAAGAATTTGCGACCCTGTTAGACTAGTTCACCATAGAAAACTTCCTACATGTCTATGTCTTACTCAACACCAGCTCTGATATTGGGCAAATTAGCTTGGCGCTGCGACTAATCATCTCATCAGAGATTCCACGACATGTCGTCGCTCACTCCAGTATAACTAGAGATAACCACTGGGGACCGCGGAATACGATCAATTCCTCTGTCTCATTTTGGAATCGTAGCTCACCGAAGCATATACCACCCTAGATCTGCTCCATGCTAGTGATAATAATTGCTTAATTTTTCAAATCTGCACCGGAGCTGTTGTAGTTTTCTACCAGCGTCATAAGCAGACGTGGGTCCGTGATTCGCCAGGAGAGCAGTTCGTGGCGACCTACTTCTGAATATTGCGTGAGAGCTTACGCCATCCCTAGGGTTATGTAAGGCGCACGGGTTCTTTATTGATTGAAGTACAATCGAGCTTAACTCTTATCTGGCAACTTTATCTGCGCATTTGTTTCTCCGTGAGTGATCTGTCGCTTAACACCGCGAAAGATCGACCATTTGAGCACTCAGCTGGGAATGAGTAGGGCGTGCAAAGCGTGAATATTTTGTACTTCAACATATGAAGTCTTGCAAGCATCGCGGAGCAACGTTGCAGCCAAAAAATCTTTCTTTTCTCATCAGCATGACTGAGAACCATCGCCGCTGGTGCGCTCGTAGAAATTTTACTTTCTGTCCCCATCCCGACCTCAAATTAGGCAGTTGTACTCTGCATCAATATCTCATCAATCGCTTTCTGGTGCGGAAGGTCGCTGTGCAAACCACACTCGTTCGGAGACCCTCAATAAAGATGGTAATTGTTATAAGTCTCCAGATGGAGGTTGGCTGCAGTCATGCCCGTTAGTTCGTACCTCTCTTGACGAGTGGGCAAGATCTTGAAGAGAATTTTGTACGTCTAGTTTGGCTATGCGGGCATTCGCAAAATATATCGCCTCAAATATGTTCAGGCTTGAATGCGAAGGGCCCATCCGCGCAGGCGCCCTCCAATTCTGGGCATTGTTAGGGCGACATGCAATTGCTTTGTTTAGAGTATCGCTAAATTCACGGCCATCCCAGGTTTGCTCATCCAGGGGAAAGCGATTCTCTGTTCGTGACCTTTAAAGTTCGACACCTAGCATTAGTGGATTTTCGGTGTGTTTCATCCGAAACCGGGTAGTATCGCTTACAAAAATGTCTAATTAGCACATTCTCATAGCTGAATTTTGCTTCTAGGCGACCAACACGTTTTATTATATCCAGCACTAAGGCTATCTATTTTGTTTGACGTAAGGTGAAAATGCACGAGTCCCATGAATCAACCTTTTACCGCAGTCTCTCATTTTCATAAGTGCTAACACCTGACTTTGCAATTACACAAGAATGTGCTGTGATTTTCGTACAATTGTTCTGTACAGTGTGTATACAGGATTGTAAATTGCATTGTAGGTACCAAGTATACGTAAGTAACAATACCATATCCGTTAAAGATCCTGATATTTAAATTCATACCAACAATACCTCTTCTTAGAATTATACTTGGCTGAGGAAACAATACTGAAATATGTAAACATGTAATCATACAATATGTTTGCTACAAGATCTGTCAACTGAACCTCGACAGATACGTTAAAGCAAGGCTTGGCAGAGCAATCGATGCCGCATCATAAATAAAAAAAGAAATGTATTCGAGAACTTGAGCCCTAGCATTTCTAAGCAGGTGATCATGGTCCTTTCTGCGGCTGCAAGCTTTTTTGAGCTAGACGTATGCAGAATTGATTGTTAAGTGAGTATATGGTTGGGTCCTTCGTTAACAAAATATGGTGCTATTCAAAAATAAAAGCTGCCGCGAACGATGCACTTAGTCAAACAACATGGACACAATTTCGCTCTCGTGTTACATTTTCTGCTGCATACCACTTAGAAGACCTACAAAGCGCAATTTAAGTAGTTCTGTCGCGTTTTATTCAACATGAAACTGTTAATGTGGTTATCAGCGAGTTTATTGCAGATTAGA